TGCGTCCACAAAGTGTCTGAGCGCAAAAGGCTTATTTGCAAACGCAATGCAAGCAATTTAGTGAAAATTTCGTAATCGCGACATAACAGACTCACAGGTCGCCAGTGTTTTACGTTGGTAACGTCATCTTTTTTAGGGTGAAGAGTGACAACGGCCCTTGTGCAGGATAGAGGGAGCACATTTTCGTTTGTGGCAGCAGTAAATATATCGCACAGATCACCTCCAATGATGTGACAAAACGTTTGGTAAAACTCGTTTGGTATTCCGTCGATACCGGGAGTACGCCCATAGGGAAGTAGTTTGACAGTGGCACAGTTCGTCAAACGTGATTGGTTTGTCAAGGTCATCACGACCAGTTTCAGTTTCAGTTTCGGTAGCCCATCAAGAAGGCTATTTTGAGCTTAAGTGTCAATGTTATCAGGTGTATACAGGTCATTGTAAAAGGTGTGTATGATTTTGCGTATTTCAGTTTGATTTTCAGTAAGAGTGTTATCTTGGCGCCTCAGCTGGAAGATCGCCTTTTTCTCTAACAGGACAAAGAAGGAATTGCAAACATCACATTCATTTAAAAACTGATGTCGCGCACGCATTGACTGCTTTTGTGTTCGTGTTGAACAAGGCGTGCGAGTAGTTTTTTTTTTTCAGTATAACTGTTTATGAGTGGTGCACCGTGTGCAGTATGATGAAATTATTTGCACGTATCTGTTAATCGACTTAATTAGCTGATTACTAGCGAATGGCTGTGTTATGTCTGTCATCGTTTAGGCCCATGCGAGGTTCTGGACGGAACTTGGTTCAGTGATTTGAAACTAATTACGATATAACCGTCGCTATTGGGACTACTATTTCTGACAGTTGGTATTCGCAGTTAGTAATATAGTGAACGATTAATCAAAAGCTATGAGGTGTTTAGTATTTAGTGTGATTGGCTTTATGATTGAAAGTTACGCCCTAGAGTCTTTATACTTCTTTGTAATTGGTTAATGTTTTGAAAATAAATAAAGTTGTTTAGTTGGTCTTGGCGAGTACACCAGAACAGACGCAGTCTTGGGGCAGTCTTGACGTAGTCTACAGTCTAGTCTTGGGACAGAGTCTTGAGTCAACCTTGGGATAGTCTTGGGGACTTTTCCCCAGGGCGCTGTGTCTTATAGAGTGTTCGACTGACCGACTAAGACGAGAGTTGAAACGTATTTTGTTGTGTGCGTCTATTTGACTGTGAAAGTTTAAGTGACTTTCCCGATCCCGTACCTCAAGGGGACGCGATAGAGAAACAAGACGAGATTTCCTTGTGGCACGTGAGGAGAACCCTAGAGGAGAAGAATTTCCCCCTGATA